TTGAGAGGAAGGACAGTGCCATTTAGATGTCCAGGAGAGCGTGTGAAAAGTTGGCATCGGTCCACTCCCATTCACACACAAGTACAGTACATCTGGGGTGAAGAGCAAAGCTTCAGAGGATTCCTCCAACTTCCGTGGCACAGAATCAATCCAGCAGGCAGAGTGTCACCTGTGAAAGCTCTGTAAAGATCTGCCCCTTTGATTACAGGCCGATTGTACAAAGAATTCAAAGCTGTTCTCTGTTTGTTGGTTTAAGACATTTATGGTAGAGCTCAGTATGACACAGGCACATGTGGGCATGACCTACAATATTCACAGAGCTCCACTGGCAATAACGAGAGAGGAAAAAACAGCTCTCTAAACTTCCACACCAGGGTCAAAAGATTCATCTTTGTGCTTTATACCATCAATGCACATGACTGGTGAAAATGAATGGACACATCAGGTACCAGCAGAACACGAAACTGCAGGTGGGAACTACTGTTGCATTTTTTGAGCCGCCGTCATTGTCCCTAAATGAATGAGTGGCTGAGGGTTAATTTTGCTCCGATGACGGCGACCCTAAACTGTCATCCTCCATAAGTTAGCCTCAGTTACTGCTCCCTGGCTGATGGGCCGGATAACCTGGATTATGGAGACAGCTGCTGCAGAGTCACGCAACACTGAAGAAAATGTTCACTGGGTGTGACTGTCCAGGACAGCTTGAAGAATGTACTAGAAATCCTGGCACTGCAGCGCATTTACAGCAATAGAACAGTGGTAATACAAAGTAGAAAAAAATGGCAAAAAAAAAAAAAACCTTACATTAATCCCTTGGAAAGTAGATGGGGTGATATAGTTGTTCTGGACAAAAATCCATGGTGATGAGGACATAATTATGATATAATAAATGAATCCTTTGTAATATAGAAGAAAAATGGATGTATTCAAAAACTATACTTCAAATGCTGTTTGAAATTTTTTCTTGGCCAGAGAAGAAAATAACCAACTTGTAACCCAAACTGCAATTAACCTTAAATATGGAAGAATAATAAAAAAGAGACGTTAATATTTCAGTAGTTTCTCCCAGACAAAAGTTGAGAGCAGATGGAAAAGCAAAGGAGACTTTTGCGTAAGTCTCTTAGAGCTCAGATACTTCTCCTGAGCAAAAGACTCCAGTAATCTTACGTCTCCTCTTGAGTTTAGTAGAGATCTCAATGAAGTCACACACTGTGCTCAGATTAGCCAAGATAATAACACTCATGTTTATCTGCAACTTAATTATCGACAAGAACTCAACCACTTCTCATCCAAGACAGGTTTGATGCAGTGTAAAAACTACAGTAGTTTTTATCTGGGCCAGATATATTTCCTTTTTTATCTAATGCTATTTCCCCTAAGGAATTTTAGGAGAATCACATTAAGCCTCCTAAGCCATTAAAAACAACATATAAGCAATAAGGTTTGCCTCTGGGTATTGAACGTATTGCATATGGAAGCAATGGCTTGCCGCATATAGAGCTCCATAGAGCGGTCAGCGGCAGCATTTACCTCTCCAACTAGCTTTTCTATGACATCCAGCCCATTGGATTCTCTAACGACAGCAACAAACATCCGCCTCTGTTTGTTTCAGGCACCGTGTTTGAGGCCTGTAATTAAGGGGCGGATAATAAACAGGAAAGACATTAATCATGAATGGAGACAAATAATGAGGTAAACATTTTGTCAGATAAGAAACCTTTTTTTAGCCACGGATGAAAGACCACCTGTTGAATGTTCCATGTCGATCTATATCGCTCATAAACATGACTTCAGTTGTTTGTTATGACCCAAATCGCATTCAGGTGAGTGGGAAGGGGGAGCATGTGTAATAACACGACTAATAATAAACCCAAATCATGTGGCGACTGGTTTGACTCTACTGCAAGGACATCTGAAGCGTCATCAACGGTAGCTGACATGCAGCATGCACAGCATACATAGCATTCCTTTGTTGAAAAGACTTCCTGTAAACATCCAAGTGCTTCCTGTGTCAAATATGAAAACTCCCAAAACCGGCTCGTGCCAGATCGATGACTATGGTATGATTAAGGCCACTTCCGATGAAGTGCCCATGGAGAAATGCCACCGGAACTCAAAGCCGGCACAATAGTTAGTGTATCAACAAACGAATGTAGGAAATTATAATAAAAAGCACTTCACCACCTGGAAGGCCCAACTTCAAACTTTATAGCTTTTAAAATGTTTAAACATTACATAATGCCATGCATGCTCTATAAGGGGCTTTATGATAGTTCATTAGCCAGCAACCAATAGCTCATGAAATTAGCACCTGCATAACACAAGTCATAAGACACTTCACATTACAGCAAGCTGATGCTTGATGAGATCTACCATGTTATTGTTTTAGTAATGATGTTTTTATTAATTGTACTGCATATAGGAGGCTATTTTCATAATGCCATTTAAAAGCCCTTTAATGCTCAACAAAGAACCAAGTCCAAGAAAATACCAGGCATATTTGTGGTGATGTAAAGCAGTGCGGATTGCTGTCATGAATGGAACCTGGTCAGTGTACTTTGGTAAATTATCTGACAGCTAAAAAAAGGACAAGAGAGGATAAGCACCTTTAAACTGAACCTTGGTCTGTTGCAGGGTGAGAGGATTACCTCACGAGAAGCAAAGGCCTCAAGTGGGCCATGTAAAAATGGAAGGTGCTCCTGTTGGATGGTCTGAAGAGGGTGTTGGCACATATTTGCCCTGGGGCAGAGGGCCTCAGAAAACAAAGCCTACACAGTGTGTGGAGGGTACACGGCCCCAGAACTGAGGGTTTAAGAGAGCAAAGTGACTTTTGGGGAAATCTTTAAGAGAGGCATACTTTGTGTTTTGCATGACAAATGCAATCCATCCATCATCAGGTTTCTGTCCATTCAGCAAGTACTTAATTGCTCCTAAGTGCTTCACTAACTTCACTCGCAGTAGATTTGCACTTGTTTTCATTGTGTTCAATTTTTCTGTTTTATTATGGCCACAGCTAAATTATTACTTGTATAAGCTTCTAACACTTAGCCTGGATTGGTAAAAATGATGATGAATAACATCTAATTGGGAATATGGAGAAGTAATGAGATGTAAGACAGCAGAGTTTCTATTATTCTGTTTGGAAATTTAACAGAAATGTCTGCAAAGATTCTGATAGCAGTACAGCAGTGCATTTGTCTGGCATCATTTTTACAGTGATGTAATAACAGCAATGTTCAATTAAACCAATATTGGGAAGGAGTGAAACAGGGAGAAACCAGCAGCATTTTCACAAACCTTAGACATAAATGAAAAGAATGCATTGCTGAGAAGAAATATGGCTGAGAAATGGTCAGTTTAAAGGTTTAATTGCACACTAATGCATCAAAGTAAAATACATAAGATATGAAAAGCAAATGTGAAGAAAAAAGCACATCAAAACATTTCAGTTTCTAAAGTCGTTGCCCATGAGCGCTAAACTCAACTACACCCAATCAGCAGTCATAAGAGATAAGGAAACTTTATCAGTGTTTTCAGCCCTTTTCATATTATTCTCACAATTCAGTCTAAGAAATAGAAGCTTTCCTGCATGCTGAATGGCAAACAGAACTGAATAAACATAAATACAGCTCAATTTACGTCTTCTTGGTATAGCTTGGGCGATATTTGCCTGCTCTTTGTTCTTGAAAAGAATGAAAATCTGTGGAGAAAGCAAAACAAATGACTCAGAACGGGCGAAACAAACAAAACAAGAGATGGAATCTAAGCACCCGGTTTGATAAGTCCTACTGAGGCAACTCCCCATGTCACGGACAGTGAGCAGAAAAACTGCAAAAGCGTTAGCGTGTAGTATGAGGTAAGAGGGTGCAATACTATAGGGTCTATAGGAACTGCAAGAAAATAGCAGTGGAAGATGCTTTGAAATTGGAACTTGTGTTCCCCCAAGGTCTGCTGTTCATGGTGAAACTGCATTAGTTGAGAAGGATAAAGTAAGAGTCTCACAATACTACAGTAACTCTAGCAATTAGAGTAAATAGTAGTGGAGGGTGCTTTGGAATTTGGATTTCGTCAGTGTCCAAAGAAAAACATGTATTTCCAAAATGGGAATGTTGCAGGAAAAGGTGTTCTCTACTTATAATGTGACTTAATATAAAGAGTTTTTATTTCAGGCTATTGCAAGCAATTCTTAGTCCAATCATCATGAGATTTTCACACAATGTAAAGTAAATGTAACTGATTCTCTCAAATGATGTCAAAAAATGAAAAACAAAAACAGATATTTTTTGACAGTGATAATTTGTGTCTGCCCCAAGGTCTGCTGTTCATGGATGAAATTGCTTTAGTTGTGAAGGATAAAGTAAGAGATTCAGAATATTACAGGAAATTGCATGAAAACACTAGTATTAGAAGATGCTCTGAAATTTGGATTTGTGTCTTTGCCATGTGCTGGTGTTTCAATCTTGCTTTACTGCCATGCAGCAATTCAAAGACTTTTGAGCATGAGCATGTGTTCAGTTATTACCATAAACCTAAGCGCCCCATCTTCCTCCCACCCCCCCATCACTGTGTTTTTCAGTGGGAGGGTTAAGGCATGTTGGGCAGTGTGGGGGGTAGGGGGCGGAGGGAGGCCCCTTTTCCCTGACCCTCAGTGTCAGTGGTACATAAACCCCATGAACGAGCGAGGCTCCTCATCCAAGGCAAACAACCCCCATCGGTGGACCTGCCACAAGCCCACTCCCTGCGCCTTCACAGCTCTACTGAACTTGGCACTATTCTACGAGGAGGAGAGGAGGAAAAAAACAACAAAAAAGCCCACAGATCTCTCTGGGAGAGCTGCAAAAGAGACCTGCCCTGGGTCTTATATACAAACACATTCACCACACACACACAGCTACAGCCACACTCACCCACCAGCCTGTTCTCACACACAAACACCGCACACACACACAGACACACGCGCACATACACAGAGGAGCAAACAGTATCTCTCCCTTCCTCTCTCCCTCTCTCTCTCGCTCACCCACTCTCCCTCTCCCTCCCTTCCACTCACACACTCTCTCACACACACACATACACACACACACGCACACACACATACACACACACACACACACTCACTCACACACACATACACCACTACAGTATATCAGCTAGCGACTGGCGGAGAGACGGAGAGAGGGGAGAGCCGAAATGAATGTGAAGATCCTGACGTTGGTGATTGTGCTGCTGGTTTCTCTGCTGTGTTCAGCCCGTGCTGGTAAGTCAAGGGAGCGTGCGTCGCTCGTCTTTTTTCCTTCTCCCTCTCTCACTCTCTCTCTCTCTTTCTGGCTGCTGGTAGCTTGGAGCTCAGGGGTAGTGGCAGCTGTAGTTGATCAGTTAGCCAGCGTTGGTTGAGCCTTGGGTGGCTGGGGAGAGGAGGAGAAGCAGCACCTGGGCTGTACACTGTACTGCACTGCAGAGGTTTGCATGCTATCATTGTGGATTTTTTAAGTTTGCTGTGCCTCGGGTGGACCGTTCGATGCTTTGATTTATCAAATGAGATAATTAGAATTCGCAGGGACAAAAAGTACTGGTGATTATTTCTCTGTCATGCAATGCTAAGCTGGCTGACTGATCCAGTGTGCTGCTGGGTTTCACAATAGTAATGCACATGCTTATACAATGTTGTGCTATTAATTGTGCAATTCATTCAGAATGATTTCTCTTAAAAAGGCCAATGTACTCAGTACTAAATACACTGACATTCTGTGTGGATTTTTCTATTCCTGAAGACAACACACCTCTCACTGTCATTTTGGTTTTGCTGAGTTACAGGTGCACATAGGAACACAGTATACATGAGATCTGGGTGGCTTGTATTTGTAATTGATGAACAATTTATGCCATAATAATGTGCCTATATACTGTCATGACATGTCATTAATGTAGTACATGTGTCATAGGTAATGGTAATGAAATGTATGTATCTTCACCTTTGGCGCTAGCCAGAAGGTAGAGATTTCACCAATGGAAGTCTTAGCTGTGACAAGGAGCTTTCAGTCAGGTGACTGGTGTCCAGCCTGCAGATGTGATGCAGGTAGCAGCCTGGTGTTAAAGAAAACAAACCGTGGCCCCTGTGTAAATGCCTGCATCTTTCCAAAGACTGACACCAATCAATTAACAACTGCTGGGAAGCATGTGTGCGGTGCAAGAAAAGGAGAGTGTGTGAGCGTGTGTGCATGTGTGTGGGAGCTGGCTAGTGACTACTCACCGTATCAAACTGCCATTTCTGTGCACCTTCGTTACGGAGATGCTGCTATTTTCATCACTGCACGAGTAAATGGGAAGCAATTAGCCTGCATTACTAATTGCAGTGCCATTGTTTATTTTTTTCACTCCCGTTCCATGTATGTAAGTGAGACTGCTCCATGCTTCAGCTCCTCTGCTTCGGCTTCCATGCCTGAGCTGGAGTAGGAGTGCTTCCATCCAATGTAATGCCCCCCATCCCTGGTCAGCCTAACTGTCAAGTGCCTGTTCCTAGGAAGGCAGCATTAGCAGCATTAGCTCCATTGAGATAGCATTAGGGAATTAGGCGCTGGTGAGGAGGATAAGAGAGAGAAAGAGAAAGAGACAGAGGGGGAGCTGTTGGGAGTCTGGGATATGTGTGCTGTCGCGGGAAGGTGTTGCAAGCCGCTCGGTGTGTAGGCAGTGGGTGTGAAGCCTTTCATCTCCAGACGCGAACACTTTCTCCAGTTCACCAGGAGTTTGCTGGAAATTGCGAGCTATTTCAGTCTAGAGATAAAGAGAGGGAGATGTGTGTGATGGAGTATTTTGGGTGAGGTAGGACGACTAGGCTGAAGGGTGGGGACGTGGAGGAGAGAACTCACGGTGCAACAGGCGACAGCAGCTCCGCTGCTGCAGCCCCAGACAGTGGCTTTAGAGTCACCCGGCAGAACGGCTTAGTGACTTTGCAAATCTCATCTATACATTCCTCAATCAGCTTGCTTTGTAATGGGTTTTCCTCACAAACAGCCAAGTCTCTCCACTCTGAGCCATTCATAATTCATTCCGAAAGCAATCTGTCTTCCAGTCCCGCCATCCTTAAGCCTGGTATGTAAACACGCCTCGTTATGGAAACCGCTCAGCCACTCGGATCTGTCATCCTCTCAACCAATATCAAAGTCTCATCTTTCAGTCATGGAAGCAAAGGGCGAATCCTTTGCCGTGTACAGTGGAGACAGGAGGAAAACAACAGGTTGAAATATGCACACATGCACATGAAGCTCCTGAGATGTGTAATTTTAGCTGCTCGATTTGTCTTCTCAGCTGTGAGCAGGTGAGGGCACAAAGATCCTTGCCATTATCAGAGATGAACCATCTGTGGGCTGAAAGCCAATTTCACATCAGCTGTCAGCAACAACATTATTCAATATTAAACTTTGATGTATGGTGGATGCGGGATCATACAGCCTCTCTGCTGTGCAACCATGTGTTCCGGGTCAGCCAGGAACCATAGAGAGGCCAGCAAAATAAACACGGGCCTCATTAAGAAATCTACAGGCACTCAGCGAGTTTTACAGAAGAAAAAGGGCCGAAGGCCGGTATATTTTGTGAAACAACATCAGTGGCCTTGCGCTAGCCGCATGCAGGAAGCTTTCAATCATAATTCCTAGTTCTTTTCACCCGCTTGGTTGAGGAAAAGAGGGCGCTTGTGCCTACGGCTGTGATTACAGGGGCCAAAGAAAGAACACAAGCGGCCAAACTTTTCCAGATGTCCAGCAATAATGTGATAATGGAGAGTAAACAGCATGAAGGAGAGGTTGGCTGCAGAAAGGTTATTACAGGATTACGAAGAATCATTCAACAGTCGCAGGACTTTTTTTTGAGGGTTCCACTCCCTTTGCCTCACACATCACACACTTCTTGTTACGATTTCATACAATTTCATGACTATCCAGGATATCCTGTCAGTATGGCATAAAAACTCTTTGGAAAGAAAAGATATCTCTTTAATATATCTGTAGTTTCTCTTAGACAACCATGAGATCAGATGGAAGTCGCCTGCTTTTCAGATATTTCCCCTGAGCAAAAGACCCCGGAAATCTCACGTTTTCTCTTGAGTTTCAGTAAAACCTAAATGAAGTGACACACTGTGCTCATAACCCTCATCTTATCTACGAGATGACAGCAATCACAATATGAACTCAACTACTTCTCATTTAAGAGCCTTCTAAGTTTTAATGCTGTGAATAACTAATTTATCTAAACAAGGAATATCTCAGGTGTCCTCTTTGTGTAATGCTATTTCTCGTAAGGAACTTAAATGAACAGTAAAGAAATCCACACTGGGTAAGGTTCATATGTTTTGTAAGCTTACTTTCTTTAAACAGATCCTGGCACAGTGTCTCCTGGAGACTGCTAATTTAATCAAAACCAACAACTACCATCCCAAACACTTGTTGCACCCACTTGTGCAGTAAATGCAAATTCTACAGGCTGCACATATGGCACCTATATACATTTAAATCATACTTGGGAATTTTATCAATACACTGCTGGATGGCTGCCCTTATTAAAATAGGTTAGACTATTATGCTATATTATCATTCAGTTTGTTAGGACATAAGGTTCAACTTTGAGAAATGATCCCCAGTGGCCCTGTATAGTAAATGCTTTAGTGTGCTAGCTACAGACCAGTGTAAAGCAATTCAGAGTCCTTAGAATAAACCAGTTCACCTTGACCCTCATGCTCAAAGGGAATACATCCGCAGGGAAGGCAGAGTAGAGGGAAAGAGACCAAATATTAAAGCAAGCTGCATAGACTGTGCAACAGCAAAAGAGGTCTTGGAGGCTTTTCTGATGTGGAGGCGTACACAGGCACTAAAATATTAAACTACCTTTAAAACTTTCCCAGCTGGTGGTCTCGCTCACTCTCCTGAAATCGCAGGTGGACGTCTGCGGGGAATATAAAAGGTTTAGTGACGCATTTAAAAAAGCTGCTCATGGCTCCTTCTCCGATCTCGTGCATCTGCCCATGGCAACCTGTCTCGTGTGCTGCTAGCCCCCTACGAGCAGCCAGCCAGCCTTCTTCAGCAACATCCCTGCTATTGAACATTCGAGACCTCCCTAATCTGCCTCTCTCTCCCTTTTCTCTCAACAGCTTAATTAAAGCCAGATATTCCAATAGCCTCACTCCATCCTCCGCGGCCTAATATTAACCTGATTTATGGCTCCATATTTGAACATTAAGTGTTACGTTTATAGAGGCTGCCAATCAAATGCGATCAGGGCGGACGTTTTTACAAACGGCAAGGCACACCAGTGAAGACGTTTCAGGGCATGAAATAAACAGGCTTTAATTGCTTTCATGCTTAATTTGCATGGGGTGAGAACATATTATGGCAGCTTGTCAATGATATTGCATATTTCCAGCAGCAGTACATGGTGAATAGTACTTTGAGCATATACTACAGAAGCCCAATCCATTGACAGGATTTAAGCCTTCTGTATTGGGTCCTCTACAGCTTATTTCCAAAAACCTAAAGCAGCTTCCCTGTATTAGCGTACTGTTAGCACAGAGAGGTTTTAACGTGAACAACTGAAAGTGGATAACACATGATGTGGTTGAGAGTTATGGAGCAGTTTAGTAAGACACCCACTGATAGCACTATAATTTGCAGCTCCAAGCTAAAGGGTAGGTGTGTGATGCCTTTGCCTTTTATTGTACAAAATTATACATTGCCAACATAAAGCTGCACCCCACATCTGAACTTTGTACCTTCACAAGAGACTATTCACCTCCTCTGTTAATGTATCTTACATTGTTTCTGTTAAAATTAATCTTTGTGACTAACTAAAATAGGACTTAATGCACAGGAGAACTTAATGCATAGCAGACAGTGGCAATTTCTCATCACACAGATCTCTCATGCCTCATTACTCCATTTCATTGTCAGATTTTAGGTATGGAATGCTGTTATGTTTGAAACAAAAAAAGCACAGTCCCATCTGCTACCTCCATTCCCACAAGAAAAAAAAAAATTGGCGTGTGTGCATAGTTTGCTTTTAAAAATGGCACAAAAAACTGAAATGGAATTCATAAACATATATCTAGTTCAGCCAAACTGTTTACTGAACAAATTTTGGAGCACTGCTTTTCATTTGGCTTCATTTATACACATTTTATACACACAGTTTATATACCTACACAGATAAACAGAACTGGTGAATGAAGTGTTCAGAATGATACTGGCTGTGACCTCTCTGACCCTGAAATGC